CATAATTGAAAAAAAAATGATGACTTGAAATAAGTGCGAGTTTCTCTTAAATGAAGCAAAATATTTTGGACCTCTCCTTATTAAAAGAAGTAATGATGATTTTTCTCAAAGAACCCATGTAAACTAATTACAGTAATAGTTTTTCTAGACTTTATAAAATAATATTTATTTTAATTAGAATAATAGTTTTTTCCGCATATTTTTAGAAATTTTATTTTAAAGTTCAATATTTTTTAAGGTTGTAAAAATGGTAATCGGGTCGGGGCGGTCAGGGACCGACTCATGATTAATTGGTGCGGCGGTGATTAATCGGTGATAAATCGGAAATAAATCGATTTTTAAAATTTAATATACTATATTTCTACATATTATTTATAAATACTCAAAACATATATAAAAAGATATTTAAACATGGTTATAACTCCATCATGTATATATCCTGATAACATAATAAAATTTTAATAATTATAATATCATAATACATAAATATTCTTATAAAATATAAATAAAAAGACATTTTTTTTTGAATTTACACATACATCATTAGTTCTTTAACAATAACAGTTAACATAAACAAAATCAAATATAAACTCATATTATTTTATTAAAATCCCAACTTTTATTTTTAAGGATAAATTCCACTTTACTCCCTTGTACTTTGGCTGGATATCACTTTACCCCCTTGTACTCTCAATTGCATCGATTTGCCCCCTTGTACTGTGGTTCGATATCACTTTACCCCCTTCTACTCTCAATTCATCGATTTGCCCCTTGTACTTTGGCTCGATATCACTTTACCACCTTCTACTCTCAATTGCATCGATTTGACCCCCTGTACTTGAAAAATTATCTCAATGTGGCCCTCGGCGTTAGTTTTCAAACCTTTGACATTAACACCCTTTGATCTATGTTTGAAAATTACAAAAAAATCACCCCTCCCAGTTTAAATAATTATTAATAAAAAAAAATTGTAGTTGGCGTCGTCGATTATGTTTTCTCGCTATCTTGAATTTTTTATTATTACATTTTTTGTTATTTTTTAATTTTAAATTTTTTTAATAATTATTTAAACTGGAGGGGTGACATTTTAGTAATTTTCATACTAAGTCAATTAACAGCTAGATTACTGTCTCCGACAGTTAATAACTGCTGGAGACAGTAACTCAGCAGCCAAGACAGTAATATTAATTAAAATATTTTTTTAAGAAAAAAAAAGTCAATTAACAGCTAAATTACTGTCTCTGACAGTTAAATAACTGCTGGAGACAGTAATTTAGCAGACAAGACAGTAATATCTATTAAAATAACTTATTAAGAAAAAACAAAATTAAAATTTATTAAAAAAAAAAAAGTCAACGCCGGAGATCCGGCGGTCAACAACGGTTGACCTACCGGGAAAAAAATTAAGAAAAAAAAGGTTTTCAAAAATAAAAAGTAAAAAAAAAAAAAAAAA